TGAAGATACAGGCTTGCATGAACTTTCAGGGATAAAGCTTGCAGCTGTCCAGGAAAAGACAACGGTCTCTGCTCTCTCTCAGGATAAACAGCACTTGCTTCCAGCTTTGGGAAGGCTAGGGATGGCAGACTATACTTTGTGGCATTATTAGGTAGATTTTGCAATAATGCAAAAATGCATACTTGGCATTTTTGTGAGACTTAGTGGTTTCCAAATGCTGTTACTTGTATTTTTCTTTCCTCCTCATGCTGGGCAGTTGGACGTGGGGCACTGAGGTTTTAGAGGTGGAAGGTGAGTGAAAATGCTCCTTGTTAAAAAAAAAAATCACAATTCCCTAGAAACATTTCTAGCACAACTCTCTGTGAAATAAGTAACAGATGCTGACGTGCACGACGGCGGGGGTGTGGGGAAAAGATTGCACTGACACTCAGATGGGATGATTATTAATCATGTTTATTATGATAGACCCAAGCACTAACCAGGAACAAGGCCTCATTGCACTGGGCATTGTGCAGACATATAGTGACACTCTCTGATATCAAGGAGTTTGCATTCAACATAGAAAAGACAGGCACCGGGTTTGGGGAGCAGACTCTGAGGGACTTATACCGCGGTCAACAGAAGGAGCAAAGGGTCTGCATTATGAAGAGCTTTGCCCCTTCTGTACTCGGATGGATCCAAGGTACTTGGATGGATCCATCAGTACAGGATCCAACGTACTCAGATGGATCCATCAGTACAGGATCCAACGTACTCAGATGGATCCATTACTACAGGATCCAAGATACTCGGATGGATCCATACTACAGCAACTCCTCGTGTCCTACCCGTGAAGTAGAGCTGAATGCTAGCCCCAATAACACCTCTCTGCATGCAGGTCCATCAATCAAGATACAAAGGGGCACAAGGCACTTGATGCATCTCCTTTCTCACCTCTCACCTTCCCTTCACTTCTCTCGCAGTGCATCTAGGCCTGTTTAGGAACCTGAGTTGGGTCATGCAACATGCATAAGCCATAGCTAAATTATGGACATCACCAGGGCTGTTCCCCCGCTGTCCAGAGTGTGAGCGTGTGCCTCGTCACTGAGCCTTCGGTAGACCTTTTTCTGGCTGGGATCCCTCTCTAGGCAGGTCCTGAGGGAGCACCGATGCAGAAGAAGTGCCAGAGGCCTTGCTGAAAGCCCCTCTATGTCTGCTCAGGGCAGTGACACACCAAGATCTCACGTGCTGGCTCTGCAGCCGGTCAAAGTTGCAGCGGTCTCTGCTGCGTGCTGCCAAGGCATCACTTTGCTCTGCTAAGCACCGATTTGCTTGTGCAACACAACCCTGCCCTGAAACTCATTTCCAGCTGTGCCAGCAGACGTCGCCATTCGTGTCAAACTGCGTTCATACAGGAGAAGTATCAGGACGTGGTGCTAGATGCCATTTGAGGAGCTGTAACAAGGCCTCTACCCCATTACTAGAATAGGAAGGGGGTTCAGGTCCCCGGATCTTTTCCCCTCCTTAACCCCCTCCCACCTTTTCCTCTCTGACTTTTTGTGCTTTGGCCGGTGCATCCTGCCCCTGGGAGAGGTCCCTTCCCCTGCACTCCTGGTTACGGGGTCCTGCTTTCCCCGCGTCCCTCTCCCTTCCTTCCACTTCATCTCGGTGTCTCTTCTGCTTGTGGCCCGAATCCTACATTTTATGAACGCAGCTAGGGATTTAAAACCAGGGAGCACGGTAGGTTGCTTCCACGAACAAAAGTGTGGCATGCAACAACTGGGCGATACCACTCCACTCTGTGGAGACCTCGTTATCTCCTGAGGGTTAAGGACACAGCTCTGTCCCTGCATTTCGTGGGCTGGCGTGGAGTGAGGCAGCGGTTTCCAGTCTAGGGAACGCAACCCCAAATGCAGTCTACAGGAAAGCGTAGGTTTGACCTAGAGTTGGGTGGAGACCCAGGAGATTTGTGAACCTCTGGGGTGGTTTCCCATGTGGGCTGCTCACCTACAGAACTGCAGAGGACCTCAGCTCTGTCCCAACCCTGATATTTCTCTGAATGAAACCTTAGGTCCCAGCCCTGTAATTAAACTTGCCTGCCCAGGGCGCTGATGGCAGCAAGAAGTCCCTCTAGCCCATGCATTTGTAGGACCAAAGCTTGCAGCAATTACCACTTGAAGCAGCAGCATGTGAAAGAGGGGATTGCTAGTAAACCCATCCTTTTTCATTAATTTTTATTGTTCTGGACATAAGAGATAATTGGAGGCTGAATGTAAATTTTCTGCTGCCAGGAGTTATGGTGGGTCCCTGTAACTGAGCCCGGCTGGTTCCTTGTAATCCGCTCCCTCGGCCGTGTAGGTACACGGCCTCAATGGCAGAAGGGAATTGTGTTTTGTGTTCCCTCCCTTGTCACTCACTTCCCATTCAACCCTAGGGAATGCTTTCAAGGAGCTGCAGACATCTGGGTTTGGTTAGTACTTACCCATGTTCCTTCAATGGGGCAGGGCTAAGCAGACGTGGCTGGGACCAAAACCCTGTTGTGCAAGGCAGCCACACACAGCATGAGACAGTCTAGGCCCCAGGGCCAGATCCCACTCCCCTGCCTACCTGGATGTTGGTATCCAAGTGCGCTCCACCCCCACCACTGTATTTCCCTTGCATCTTTAATGCATCTCCATTTGCAAGACACCGTGACACTGAGTCATAAAGAGCCGTGTGGAGGAGGAGGGTCCACCCACCTCATGCATTCATGGTTTTCTCAGGGACCCAAATTGAAGGGAATAGGCTTGCACTCATGAAGTCGAATAGGATCTTGTCCCGATGCAGAAGAAAAGGTAAAGCTATTTGCCAAAGGTCACAGAGGTAGGACCAGAACTCAGGGCTCTGGATGCCCACTGCAGCACCCCAACTTCTGGACCCCACCCCAGGTAATTACACCGATATCTGTGGTTTCTTTGTCAGAGAGAAGACTGTAGCACAACCTGGGAGCAAAAGCCTGTTAGCATATCACACGTTACAGGGAATAGAAGTGTTTACTGAGTTTGGATAAATAAAGATATGAAGGAACTAGCAAAACAATTATTAAAGCATATAATAGGTGACAGGTATTTTGACATTAACAAAAACAAGCACAATTAATTAGGCAGGGAAAAAGAAGCCTTAAAAACACCCACCACAAGTGAGAAAAACATGCAGATATGTAAGAAATCCAAATCATAATCTGCTTTCAAAGTCAGTGAAAATTGAAACGTTTGAAGTCCTAAGTGATTCATCTCTATAGTGCAGCTCCTAAGATCCTTGGGGGGAAAGAAAACCACACCTCTAAGTCATCTTCAAGGGAAAACACCGTGGCATCATCGCATATGCACAATCATTAATCATGGGAAAGGTGGAACTGGTGTAGTCCAGATCCTTTGCTATAGTGCAATGCACTCGGCATGACTTCGTTTGGAGCAAACGTCCTGACTTCTGCCTCTTTTGTGTTTAGACCCAGGGGACGGTCCTGCCTGCGGTGTAAGTCACAACACCCCGAAGCCTGCTCTTATTTGCACATGACTGCTCACAGCATCAAGGGGCTTGGGAAAGCAGCAGGAGGGCAGAGGCAGGTCGAGGAGTTAGCCCAGTTTTCCAGCTGCTTTGCATGCCAGGATTGAGGCAGCATCTCACCCTCTATGGGCTTATCTACATGTGCACTTTAATGCACATTAGCCTATTTTAATGTGCATTAAAGCATCACTAAAAAAACATGCTATTTGGCTAATGTGCATTAAAATAAGCTAATGCACATTAAGCATCACTTGAAAACTGTGCTCTTATTTAATGAGCATTAAGACAGTCTAATGCACATTTTCCTAGTGCTTCACCATGGAGGTCCTAGATTTGATGTGCATTAACTAAAGCGCATTAATGCATGTGACTCTAGTGCTGTTCTGTTGATAGTGCCAGGGCCACGCAGCCAATGCGTGTGGCTGAGTGCAAGTATGTGCACAACCCCAATGCTCCCCTTTGCTTTCTCCTGACATTGCTGCTCCTCATTGCCAGGACATAGGAGCCCAAGAGCTGCCTGTCTCCAAAATCCCCTCCGGCTGCGGTGAAAGGCAGGCGAGGCAGATGGGCACTGGCCCTGGGGGGAAGGCTCCGGCAACAGAGGGGCTTCTTGACCCTGGTGGGGGCTGGCTGGGCAGGAGAAGGGGGTAGGGACGGGGCCATCCCCTGCAAAGGCTGAGGACACCTCTGGGTATGGGCAGCTCCAGGTCCCCCTTTGCTCTGCCCCTGCCCCCTCCTATTTTCCCCCACCTATTGGCTTCTGCCCCCTCCTACTTGCCCCTGCCTCCTCCTTTTTGCCCCCCCACCTATCTGCTCCTGCCCCCACCTATTTCCCCCCACCACCTCTGTGTTCCTTCCTCCTCCTATTTGCCCCTTCCCCTTCCCATTTGCCCCCACCACCTATGCACCCCCCCCCTCCAAACCCCCTTGCCCCGCAG